AAACAAGCAGAAACGAAGTTGAAATACTAATTTGATTATCGGCAAAGTAAACCACAAAAAGCATGCAGATTTTTCGAGGATTTTCAATCTAAAATTTTCAAGAAGTCATATAAAAACGAACCCAAATATAAATTATAAGCAGTGTTTTTATCCCAAAAAAATGATGGTATAAACCGTGCTACTCACAAGACAGTTTCCACAGTAAAAAAAGTTTACTTACCATTCTTGAGCTTGACAGCATATGATGTCAGTCCATAGAGTTCTCCCTCAACCCGCTCTCCAGTATCTTTCCTCACGAAAGTGATAACAGATCCTTTGCTTAAATTTGGAAAGTAATTCTCCATTTCTTGAGAGGATTTGGCTGATTTTTTATGTGGTTTTCGTGTTCTATGTTAAGAATTTGTTTGTTCTCTGACTCAAAACAGAGGAGAGATATATTTATATTCATGTCATTTGTAATTTATATTCCATTTAGAAAGAAGCGCACTTGAATTTTTCTTCTCTCAACAAACCATAAGGGCAATTTCTTGTTATTCAAAAATACTTTATGATTAAGTTTCTTTCTTACAACATCTTTAGTCAGCTTCTTGACATTTTTTGCATTGACGTTTGGTTATTTTTCAACTTTATTACTCTTTTCGTTCAGCTTAATTTGCTTGATTATAGTTTTTACATTTCTCCAACTATACAAAAATACAAAACTGTGACTATGCAATGATGCAAATAAGTAATATATGCTAGCTAGCTAATACGCGGGTTTGTCGATGATTATCTACTTTATGCCAACAGATCGACGTATGATCGCATCACTTACAAATTTACCTTAAATTAGTTTGGAAAATACAAAAAAATAGTTTTTATAATTTTATAAAATCAGGAAAATAGAAAATAGTAATGTACAAGGCATATAGATTCATGTTTATATTTTTTTTCAAAAAAAATTATGACAGAAAATTATTTATTTTTTCTTCTACCATGGTCGAATCTACTAGTAGATTAGGTGTTCTGCGAATTTGTATMATTCTACGAGTGGTAGAAATAAGTATTCTACTAATTGCACAAGTTCTACATACCGCAAATTGCATATTCCACCATTTTGCTTTAGTACTACCAGTCGCAGTATGTTATTTCTATCAATGTCTTTGTCGTCTACGCCACACAGAATGCATATTCTACCCCTTCTGTCTACCTCTTTATCTATCTTCTACCAAATGGTACAAAATCTATTATACCAAATGTAGTTTAAATCCCCTAAATCTAGGACCATTAATTATTTACTTTCCAAAAAATATTTTATTCGGTATTTATTTTCCAAAAAACGTAGATTTTTCAGGGAAAAACATATTTGATTTTTTTGTCAAATGTTTTTGGAAAAAACACATTTTCATTTTTTTGAATTTAATGGAAACTAATATGAATA